ACAAACGTTACTCGATACTCTTGGCTTCGGGTTGGGTTTATAAAAATGTATTTTATGTCATGTGCGCCATCAAATGCAGATCATTAGCGCCATCCACATCTAGTGAAAACTAGTGTAATTGGATGAGTCGTATAAGGCAAACACTCATTGGTTAGCTAAAGGAAATCATCAGAAGCAAGCAGGTGTTCTTACAACTGCAAACAGGAATTGTCTATGCCATGCTACAATGTGGGATTCAGAAAAAGACGTTGAAATGTCTGAAAGGTCGGACACAGGCGAGAGCGTATCTATAGATGGAGACCAACAAGACCTCCCTCATCCTTGGCCCTGTCTCAAAGAAAAATTGAGCTTTCAATTCATATAGTGGCATCTGGCTGGTTTTTGTTAAAGGTTACTTTATACTTTTATACTTTTAGTAGTTTTTGGAGCACATACTTTTTCACTTTACTTGTGTAAAAAGGTCAAGTTGATACTTCAACTTTTACCAGAGTGTTTTTAAACTGCAGTATCTATACTTCTACTTAAGTAACAAATGTGTGGACTTTTGACACCACTGTTGATTACTCTTTTTGTTATTTGACAACTTCTCATTACAAAGCAAACATGCAGGCAATTTTTCTGCATTGGTAATGAAAGTCAGTGATTCAGTCCATTATTCTTTGAAATCCTCTTTTCTCATCAGGTATCTTAATTTTTTTCCCTGACCAATTACTCACCCGCCAGTTTTTTTACAACAGCCACCTGCCTGGCGCCGTGTCGCACTGAAACGTTTGTTGCAGGCTATGATGCAAATCTTCGTTGACGGAGATGTTAACATTTACTGTTAAAATGTATTTAATATGCACCGTTGGAAACATAATGAATGTTTGTTTGACCTCGTGCACATCATATTGAAACAAACAAATAAAATCCATCTTTTTCCATTTTCATACATTTTTGAAAGAGCTCCGGGGAGGCGCCGGGGGGAATCAAAGAGCGGCGGGTTGCCGACCCCTGCTACATACTATGTGCTTATTTAAACTTTCATTCACATAGACCTTTCCAACACACGGTGACCAAAGTGCTGTGCATAACATCAACATGTTAGAAAGCAGAATAAAGGAAAGGGGGAAAAAAGAAAGAGCAATGCATCGCAAGAGGAAAAGTTATGCAAAACCTCCAGTCCGAGTTAAAGGGATTCGCTGGTTTGCCTTTTGACCTTTAAACTTTCATCAATTACTAAATCAAAACAAGCAAAAATGTGTGTTGTTGCTGCACAAACAAAGCAGTCATTTTTGACACAGATCTTGTTTGATTTGAAGAGCAGATTGCATCTTAACTCAAGTAGATGATTTGTATGCACTGAGCTCAACAGCTAGACTTTTAGAATAAGGAATCTCATTTTGTCTTACAAGTTTCATGCTGGAGTTCACCTCACCTCTACGGAGCAGCGATGCTATCACTCCTCTCCCCACACTTAGTATGCAGCTCCACCTGACCACTGGTACGGTTTACTCAGAAGACAAAGCACCCAGTCTGGGCTCTTATTGACCTGCAACCTGAGAAAAACGAAAAGTTTAGCAGACTTTTATCTCAAGGAACTATTTGTAAATGTCCGACCTGTGAGGAATGGTGTAAAATATTATAGTTTAGCCCTGAAACTATTTATCTGTGTTTGTGGGTTTGACGGCAAGAAAAAGAAAGCAGCTTATTAAGATCCAACCGTTTACTGCTCTCCTTTTTTTCCTGTTAGACAATCATCTTGATGCATGCATGCATTTGAGTAGCTGTTTACTCTAATTAGGTTCCTGAGCATTCAGATTATTAATATTCCAACAGTGCTGCGGAAAGTTATTATCCTGCACAAATCAATATTATGTCCAAACGGGGGACAAACGCACACTGAGAGCCAGAACAAAATCTATAAGCTCAATTAATTTGCCACATTTACCCAGTTTGATATGAATAAACAAGGTAGCTTGCAGTTTCTTCTCTGCAGGCTGCCCTCAATTTAGTAGGAGTTTTGCTGATATAACTCCCTACTGCATCTGTGTTTGGCAAACCTTTGCAAATCCAAACAGTCCGCCTGCATGTGACCAGGCGTAATTGAACCAGCCTGGTGCCGACCTGATGGGGGAATAAGTGGCACTTCTGGTACTGATGAGTTTGAGCCAAAGGAAAAGGGTTTAAATTCACTCTAATAATCGACCTACACACACACACACACACACACACATGCAACGTCCCATAAATTTAGCAGCTGAATATATTTTCGGTCGATTTAGCTCAACAGAGTATCTTTGAGCTCTCGCTCTGCTGCTTCCTTGGCAAATATGCGTCTCAAATGTCTGCAAATTCAGCCAAATCGGACAGCAGCGTTTTATTTTCAGTCAAATTGTCAGAGTGGGAATAGTCCCCAGCAGGGAACAGGCCCAGATGTCCCAGCTAGTCTCAATAGTAACTCTAGCAGACCACGTGGGTCATTTAAGGGGCTACTTTGGCACCTCTTCGCTGTCTTAACATTATTTTTTTCTCTGTTAGAGAATCACTTTGGCTCAGGGTGTGTTGTGGGAGTGTTCCTTCATTACTGGCAGCAGGCAAACATTTCCAGGTTTGGGATGAATGCAGGACGACTGTCAACAGAGACGCTGTTTAATTCCAGACCTTCTGTCTCTCCTCTGCCTTTTATTTCTCTCCTTTTGACCAGCGCCTCTCGCTCACCCTCATCGCTATCACCCTCGGTGATCAGCCATCCACATGTTTTCAAGCCGGTTGTCCTGGTAACCGGGGCAATGATGTCATCGAGTGGATGAAATTAGTTCCTCTCAGAGTAATGGGAAAAGTACAGATCATCATGGGAAAAACATTAGCTTCAATCTGAATCCGTGTGACTCTTACAGAGGCGATGATTACACAATTCTTAACATTCATGTAACCGGTTCAGTTTAAGCTGAAATAAATATTATTTACATAATAGGCATTTTGAAACAAAAACCTGAAATCATGCTCAATATTCACACCTTCAAGGAGAAATTGTCTGATTTGCTCTTTATAGGAGAAATAAAAGATTTACGAAACCATTCGTTTCAGAATAGACTAAGAAATTTAAGAAATTCAGGCATTTTCAACAGCAAGTAAAGAGAAAGTTTAAAACAGAAGAGAAAATACAGGTTTGTTATTTAGAAAATGCATCCTTGGATCAAATCAAATGTAACTAAGGAGGATGAACTGAAAAATGTTCTGAAAAAAACTGCAAAAAAAGACTATTTACAAGAGATATTAAAACCTTGTTCAATTAGCAGCAAACAAAGGCTGGTTTTGTTTGCTGCTGAGAGGAAGGATTTTATGGTTCATTTGAAGTGTTTTGCGTGCCCTCGGATACATCAGAGGCAAATGATTCACCTTTATGCCCACTCAGAGCTCTGATCTAAAAACTAATTTCACTTGCTTCAGGATTGGAGGAATGAACTTACCTGAATTAGAAGCTGAAAGATCCAGCAAATGTTTCCTTCTTGCATTTTTTTTAATCTATCTTTATCTCTGGCTGTGCTCCTCAACAAGGTTATCATTTAAACATTGACATGAAACATTTAGGACTCCTTAAAGTATTTCTTAGACTGCAAGTCCTAGAGGACCAGAGGTCGACTGTGAGCATCACCATTACTGGTTCAATGGCTCAGCAGTGTCTGGAACAAACTCACTCCACTTAGGCAGAAAAAAGTTTCACCTAGAGCAGGGGGATTCATTGATTTTATTGACTAATTGAATTTTTGACTTATGAAGATTTAGCTGCAAACATTTAGTGTGGTATATTTTCATTGTCTGTTGTGAAATGTAATTGTTTTAAAACATTTTTCACAGCTTGAAATTTAATTTCCTTTAAATTAAGGTCACCTCCAAGAGGGGAAGATTGAAATAAAAGCTCATTTTTGAAAGCATTGTATGCCATTTTCGTTTTTATCTTGTAGACTTGGAAAACAAAATAAAAAAAAATAAAAATTGATATTTGATTTTTACGCCATATGCCAGCCCATCTGTAACCACCAAACAATGGAGAATATGCTGACCTATGGATGTGCTGTGCGGTAAACCAGCTGCACTGCATCTGTCACCCCGGATGGAAGCAGAACAGCTGCTTCTTCTTTCCCTCCTTTTTCCTCTTCTTATTTTTCTTGTACTTATTTTTAACTGAAAAACAAAACTTTAGAACTGTTGAATTCTATTGGTAGGAGGATAAATAAATAAAAGCTGAGCAAATAGTTAAGGTGTGAATTAAATTAGCTTGGGTGTGGCATCACAAGTTTGGGCTTTGAAAGAATTGCTGTGGAGTTAGGAAGCTGAGGCATTTCTTGCAAGAAATAATGTTCAAATTTATTTAACGTCCTCAGACTGAAGCAATTCATGACATACATTTATACCTTACAAAATGACACACACACACTCCTCCCAGGAGAACCAACCCACCCCCTGCATAAAGAACTTTCTCACCATTGAACATTTCGTTATTCCCAAGAAAAAAACACTTTATTTCATCAAGGACATAAATTTTAGCCAGATAAACACTCAAAGCAGGTCTCCCGTTCACGGCATGAAGGAAGCTGTATGAACTCATTCTCATCTCTCATGACCCTCCCTTCACCCTTGTCTAGAATAGGGAGGAAACTGCTATCTGTCATCCCTAATCTTAACTCCATAACCTAACTCCAGCGTTCAGACTGGTACAAGACTTCTAAACAATCACCCCTATTTAGGCAGAGGAAAGGAACACTAAAAATATTTTCTCACAAATAGGCCAAGCAAAAATATGCTTCCACATTGCAAACAAAAGTATTTGGTGTAAACGAAAACATTTATCAGGAAACAATGGAAGGTGTTACCATGGATATTGATTCCAAAATGACAGGCAGGTAGAAAATCCAGTGAGTTACCAAAGGATGTGTTACCTGTTTGCCACAAACTACCAATCAGCAGTTCGTGTGGATTGTTTGGGTTTGATTATTCCTTCCCTCTGTTTTTTCCAGAGACACCCCCCAGGGCAGCGAGGGCGGATCCAAGACGCCCCGATCCAGAACTTCATCTCGCTTCCCTAGATTGGGCCGCAGCCGCACACAGGAAAGCAGACCGGAACCGCAGAGCGGTGACCTTTGAGCCTCTGACTGGAAACGGACTGGATGATGGTGTCTGTGTACGGAGACACTCTGAGGATGTTCAGGGACGTTCACTGGAACTGGGAAACCTCCCAGATAAAAGCCTCAGACAGGAGATGAAGATAAATGAGGTCAAGTTGTGGAGATTTATTTGAACCTTGTTGTGCGTCGACCTGTCAGACAGCAGATAAATGACTCTAGACACACAAGCCTGTGGACCGGCCCAGACATCCAGAACTTTATTCCTCCTTCAGAGACCAAAAGGCTCTTTATGAAGAGCAGCTGGACAGAGCTGGACTGTTCTGCATCATATCAAGCAGATACAGTTTGTAGTTCAAGTGTTTGATGTTCACAGTGCCTACCATGTTTTGTAGCTTATTTCCTGAAGAGAAGGGGAGGGGGGGGGTCTGTTATATTGTTTTAGTGCCATTATTACACAGATAACAATGACTTACAATCACTGGACCACCATGCTGCTGGTTTTCTCCCCGCTGCCTTTATTGATGCTTTTTTAAATGTGTAGAAAATGTCAACAGATCCTGCATCATCAACATAATCCAGGTCCGTTTTCTACAGCAATAGACAAGGGTTCTAGGATGAACCCACAGCTGAAATGTCATCTGCCTTTTTTCCGCGCCTGCAGAACCCTGAGAAAGTATTTATACAACTTTTTACATTTTGTCACATTAAAACCATGAAACTTTAACCTATTTGATTATAGATGTATATTTACTCTGCTGAAGTTAAAGGGAAAAATCCTTTAAAGGGAAAAATACTTTGACTAGACCAATTTAACCAATGAATCTATGAACCTGGCTGTTAGGGTCATTAGGAGCATCCAATAGGTGGCCTTCAATTAATTTCTTAGAGTAAGCCTCATTCTTCTTCATCAACTCTGACCTGCTTTTTTTGTCCCAGAGCATGATGCTGCCACCACCATGTTTCATCATGGAAAATTGTGATTTATGCTGATAAATTTTCACCAAACAATATTTAGAACTTTTATAAAAAGTAAATTTTTTGGTCTTTTTCCACAGATCTGCTCTGTCTCCTGACCAGATCTATGGAGTCCAGCGATAGTAGTTGTCCTGTCATCAGGTCCTCCCACCTGAGCTGTCGATCTCTGCAGCTCCTCCAGAGTCACCATGGTCCTCTTGGCTGCTTTATAATGATCTGTTTATCCAGCCTGACCATGGCTCGGTAGCTCTGCGGCTGGTCCATACTCTCCATGTTCAGATGATGGATTAAATGGAGCTCATAGGAGATATACAAAGTTTGGGAGATTGTTTTGGAAGCAATTCCTGCTTTAAACTAAACCAAAACTTATTTTCTGATGTTTCTGCTGGGTTCCTTGGTCTTTGTTAAATGACAATCAGCTGGTTTATGTTTTGGGGGCTCAGAAGATTGGTAGCTGCACAGTTTTTTAACGGGGTGCTGACCACAGTTGTCTGCCACCTCGTGTTGGACCGTTACAGTGAAGCTCATGGTTGTAACGTGACAAAATGTGAGAAGCTCACTGGGTGTGAATACTTCTGAAATGTTTAAATCTGTTACAGCAAGCAGAGAATCAGTTACTGAAATCTGCAGCATCAGGTGACAAATCTCAAAACAACCAAGGGACCATTTTAACCTCCGTTCATATGACAGCAGAACTAATCAACATCATGAGATCAAAAATCACTCTAATTTCATCCTTTCAGCCACAGATTAGGGCCTCTCTGTCATTTGGATAATGACTTAATGGCATTATGTTATTATGGATGCTGATGATCAGCTCTGTATGAACATTAAAGCAAAATGAATCGAATAAACTGAAATGATTTTATTGTTTGGATTTAAACATCATTTGGAATTTCTTAAAAAAATATAAAGGAATTACAAACATAAGAAGAAAACATCTAGTTTTAGAAAACCAAATATATTCTTTTAATATAAGTCAGTATTTCTGTTTTTGTGATGAGATTTCAGTCCTGCTGTTCTTCCACTAATCATGGATGTTAATATAATGCTGGGACTAAAGAATTGCTTTGCTTCAGTGCCTTAAAAAAAAACAGAACTAGGTTCCAAGTTTGATCTTATTTTGTATTTTCTCTGGACTTTTCTCTTTAGCTCCTCTTGTTGGAGCTGCTAGAACTCATTCAAATTTGGTTATTCTAATATTCCTGCTTTATTATTCTAAAATCTGCTTATTGTCCTGTTAGGAGCCCTAATTGTGTCCAGCTTGACTACACGTCCTAAATGATAATACCTGCTGTAATTGTGAAGCCAGTTTTACATCCACCTGGATCCAGTGCAAAAAGACAAACATAGACTTTCAGGCCCTCTGAGGTGAGCCAAATGTCTTCTGAAGAGGAGAAAAATGTTGATGTGGTTGAGCAAGAGCTCTAGAGTGAACACTTTACCAGCTATGCGCTACAGTACGGTGGTGTTGGCATCATGCTGAGGGTCCTGGTCTATGTAGTGGATCCCCTACAGGTTCGCCTTAAACCAGCACAGCAGTAAGGCTGAGGCTTGGACACTGTTGGAACAGGACAGAGACCATAAAACACAGGAACTTGTTTTGAAACAGAAAACTGTGCCGGCCTCAGTTTTTCCCAGTGGCGGTTCTAGACCAAATGTACAGGGGGCCAGGAGGGGGCCAGAGTGTTTTCACGTGGCCCTAGAAAAGCATGAAATCAAAAACAGGGCAAGGGATTCAAATATATTAAGAAAGCTGCATGAAGTGAAATTTCTATTCAATTAGGTTTAATAAAAATTCTATTTCTCATGGTCAATATACATTCATAATTCAGGAATTTCACATATTTTTCGCTTAATTTAAGTTAAAATTACCATTATGTATAAAATCTGAATTATAACTCAAGAAAAACGGATAAATTCAGCTGTAAAAATAAGATTTTTTTTTTATTTGTTGAAAAAAACACTTAGCAGATGTAAACTGGGATCCTATCTCAATACCACTAAAGCTATCACCTTATTGTTTTTAAATAATTAGTAAAACATAATTTGTAAAGAAAAAAATGAAATGGAGCCAAAGGACCTATCAGTAACCATGTCTGTTCCAGCGCATATCATCATTAGGATGTCTTTTAAGCATTATTTCCTCAGTACAGACGCCAGGACATGATTTACAGGGGCCTAGCCCCTGTTGGCCCCTGTCTAGAACCGCCCATGGTTTTTCCCCAATAAAGTAGATCTGGGGACCTATTTTCATAGACGCGGACATTTATTGGTGTGACTTAAGTAAATGGAGTGTATGTTAATATTTGAGTCTGTGTGGGTAATTTTAACCCCAACCTGATCAGGACAAAATCCACCTGAAATTCAAACATGACCTCCCATTTATCCGTCAAATTTGGCTCAAAATCTTAAGTGTAATGCTGAGTTGATGTAAACTTCAGACCCTGTAATCTATCACACCAACCGAAACAGGCCAGAGTTTTCCTTCTGTAAAAACCCATTATAGTTATAGGTTCCCATTCTTCTCTGAGCTCTAAATCCAGGCTGCTGGAAGGTTTGGATCATCAAGTTTCCAAAACGCCATGCGAGCCTAGATCTACTGCAGAGGTGGGCTGGCTCTACAGCTGATTTCTCTGGGTATTGTTAATGCAACGAATTGTAAGTGGATGCTTTTAAAGCTGCTTACCTACAAGCATTCAGGAAGGTCCTTGTTGAAGGACTTTGGCAAATTATCAACTGTGAATGAAAGAAAAATGTAATTAAATTCTTGCTCTTTTAAAAAAATGACCCTCAACCAGTAATCAATTCTTAACACAAATTTTTCAAATGAGATTTTAAAAGCAGTGAAAATCTGAAAGAGATCATCAACTCGTTTACAATGACTGAATGCTTAATGCTGGGATTTTAACATTGAACCATTTCTCAGGTTTGCAGACGTTCTGAAAGAGAAGAATCCAAGTGTTCAAAGGAGACGATGATAAAAGTTGCTTATTGTAGATCTGCAGAACATAGAAGTTCTGAAGCAGATGGGCTACAGCAGCGGGAGACCATAATGGGAATGCCTTGGACTTCTTACTGCCAACTTATGCAACTGGGGTGTTGATGCTATGAACACGTAACTCAGCTTCAGTGGGAACGTGTAAAAGAGGCATTGGTCAATATCTAGATTTAAATAAATTGCTGATCTAAAGTTTTTGCTGAAGATTTTAGAACTTTGTTACTATTTTTGTCGTTTACAAGTTAAAAAGTAGAACAGTGTTCAAGCTCATTCTACCATTTGAGGTAATTTATCTACATCTGGAGGAGAGCCTGCTGGTGTGGGAGTGAGGTCGCTGTTTTCATATTCAACTGTCATAATCAACAGGTATTGCATATTTTATTTTAGCACAGTTAGCATAGCTGTTTTTGGAAAAACAATTATCTTGCAGAAGAAAGCAGAGCATCACCCAGCCGTACTGTTATCTGTTAAAAGTCTTGCTCTTGTATCCCGAGATGTCCTTGACAAAAGCATCATTTCAAAAAGAAAATACAAGAAGAAGATTATTTGTTCTGGGCTTGTAGAGAACTATGCTCATTTAATTACATCAGCTGGTCCTAGTTTTATTTCAGGTAGCATTATATTAGGACATCCCCAAACACCAGATGTCATTAAGATGTTGGTTTTTAGGCTAAATCGGTTCAGTCCATCATAGTCTTGATTTTAGTCCAGAAATAGATGTTGACAATTGGTCTGATTGGTTTGTCTGATTTTGTCCCACTTTAGTCCAATAGTAGATTTTTTTTAACATCTTTTAAACGTCCTGAAAATTATGGTTTTCGTTTCTCAACTAAATGTAGACGTCGTTTGGACGTAAATCAAGTCTTTTCAACCAAGCTTCACTCTGTGGGTTATTGGAATGACTTTGAGATGAAATTTTTAGCATTAGGAAAAACATTTTAGTTTGTTTAATATGTTGTTCTGATCTTCACCCTAATGAAAGACTGCAGTCTGGTCTACAGAGGTGGAGTGGAACAGGAGGGAGATGAACCAGAGTTGGTTCTAAACTAATAATAACGTGTCGGCTATGAAAAACCACGGAAAGTGCTGTGACTTATATATCTACACTGACTCGTACTACACCTAAAAAACAGCATTCACTCCAAACCCCATGTCCTCAGAATGGTTTGACATTTTATCTCTAGTCTTTGAACTAAATTGGAAAAACTTCCTTGCTTTCCCCTTTTTTTCCTAATGCTTTTTAGTTCTTACTCTATAACTGTCCTCTTCTGCAGATATCGCGGCACAGCAGAGAGGATGTGAGCGATAAAGTCCAATGTGTTCGGTGAATATGTGTCCTCCACAGGCTCAGTGGTGTCACTGTTAACCTCGTTCCTTTTATAAATGGATGAAGGTAACCAAGCATCCTGCTGTGCTGCTGCAGTTTTGCGCTTTGTGTATGACGCTTGTCGGCACATTTATGCATTTATGCACGTGCAAACACTGTTTATCAATGACACCAGGTTGTACATCCTTACATCACGAAATAAATCATTGCTTTCACCTATTGTGTATTAGAACCAAATGCATGGATAAGATGTAAGATACAGTAAGGTGCTGAAATTTCCTGGCTGGCTGTTTGTTTATCGTCATGTGTTTCAGGATGTGCTTTGAGGTTTTAAACAGCCCGCATCGCCAGTTAGGGAAATGCAGATCCATTCTTTTGTCGTGCTCAGCTGGTGGTTAGTGGGAGAGAGGAAATTCAAGTGAACATAGTGTTCCCTGTCCAGTGACCAGAAAATTGGTTAAAGGCTTATTAAGGAAGTGGATGGCTGAATTTGGGCAGCGTTTAACATCTCCTGCACACACACACTTTATAACAGCAAGGTAAGTGTAGTCTGTGGGCAGCACATGCTGACACACGGCATCTTCTGCAGTCACCACTTGTTTTTCATCACAAAAAAAAAAAAAAAAGATACGCAAAATCTATGTTTATTCTTTGAGGATGTGTTTGAGGTTTTTGTCAGGGTTGGATAATCCTGCATCATGCAACTGAAAGGGACTGGAAATATGATCAGATGTTAGAAATGATTGTAGATAGATTCAAAGAATTCCACAGATTCTCATCTTTGTTAAGGTTGGCTCCTTTAAAATACTCTCCTACTTTAAACCATTTCAGAACCAGCTCCACCATCATGTTCTGACCAATTTGCAGTAATTTATAAGAGGATTTCAGGAAAAGTATAAGAATTCGAAGTCAGCTGTTTTTCTTCAATGAACCCACACGCAAAAAAAAGGAAGAAAGCCATCAGATGATAAAATCAAGGTAAAGAGCATCAGAGCATCATAAACATGGACTGAGACAGAAGAACCTTCTCCAGATTAATTTCTCTCATATGCTCAGTGTCTGTTGCTGGGACATATAAGGATGGAGTTCCAGGTCAATAGCCAGAGGTAGTGTTGTTGTTTTTTTTTTTTTATAGAGGTAGTGTTGTTAATTTGTGCAAAGCATTATGGGTTGTAATAACGAATAGGTGGAGTAAAGTTATGCAAGAGTCTAAAGACATCCAGGGTACGTGCTGCTGTGGTGGTTCAGATCTCAGCAGGAGTGAATGAATCATACTACATCACTAACTAAGGACTTTATTTATGTGGCCCTTT